CAGCTGGTACCAGCTTGTGTATGAGCGGCGTAACGAAAGCGTTGAGAAACAACCAGTGATTCCAGTAAGAGCCAGAAGCGTCAATACATCGCGAACGCGTTGCGATGGAACATCGGTTGTTCCGGGTGGTTGGCTACCGTGGTGCGCATCTAATGGTAAAAAGATTGAACCCCCGAGAAGCAGCGCGGCCGCCGTTGAGCAAGCGTTGACAGCACGGAGTGGAAAACTTCCCAAGTCGAAAAGGATCACATGCTCCCTTGGCCAAGGACCGAATATGCAGGCTATCGCGACTAGACTGCCCATATTGACCAACCACATCATTTCCGCGTTCTTGCTTGTCATGTCCCCTGGGTAGTGTTTGTGTGTGAGCTTCTTCAGCGCATTCGCTATGCCGGCGAAGAGCATGGCCAATATCCCTGCCAATAAAGTTGGTACACCAAGTCGATATTCCATGGATAGGATTCCAGCACAGGCTAATAGAAGTAAACCAAGGCGGAGGGACTCAACGCGCGATTGAGATGTGTAGCCAGTAGCGAGGAGTATCATGTCTTCAGCGAAGAAGGATATCGTCTGGTGGTATTAGTGTACTATTAACGGTGAATTCTCTGGGGGAGCTCACGATCATCATAGCCAGCAGCGCCAAGTTTGCGGTATGCAAGATGGCCTGCAGTATAAGAAACATTGATAATGACCCAAAGCAATGCGCGGCTGCAACGATGAGTGTGCCTTGAAGTGATCGTTTCCATCGGTGCTCCTGCCTGACCACCTGAACCTTCCGTTGCCATGGGTATAGGCACACAGCAAAGAACGCCGTCGCAGCGATTTGATTGAAATAGGTTTGAAGCGGGTAGTGTAAGTTTTGTTCGACTAATATATGCCTGGCGCTCAGTAAAGAGGTCGTAGCACACATCAGCCAAACAAGCCGGCGATGTTTCTCAAATGCGTCGTGTGTCGTCTGCCGGTCGTGGGAGTTCTTTTCACCAGCGTCTTCGAGCCTGAGGTGTGCGGTCATGGCGAGGGATGAAAGTTCAGTTATTCGTGTTCGAGGAAGGAGCGACGAGATAAAAGGGCCCAGTGACATGCGACTTCCCCAGAAGCAATTCGTGCCGTGTTCCTGGGCTGTAAGCCGAGGACCACAAGAGCCTGAAAACAAGGCGTACAGCGTAAACGGGCCAGGTGTCGCATAAGCACGATCGCGTCCGGGACCCGAGTTGGCGGCGTAGCACGACTCAAGAGATCGAAAAGCGACTGAAGGTAGCGAAAGCAAACTGACGAAGCACATGCACGAAGTAACCCATCTGCTTTTACCCCAGGCCCTCCTGAAACGATGGCATTGTGTCGTCTGGCTTAAAGTTCTCATCTGTTTGTGGAGCTTGCCACCCCATCAACTAGGTAATCAATATGCACGGAGGCGGTTCGCCTTACATAACGTCGATCATATACTTCTTGCGCCTGCTTCTTGCATATCTTGCGATGCACCTCTTTACATGACAACGGCGAAAGTCTTTCTAATCGGTTGTATCTTCTACCTCGAGTCCTTCTTAAGCGGACGACAACCCCGTGCTCTTTCCACAGCATGAATCGGAACAAAAGGAGGCGCAGTTGACGCCACAAGGTGTGAGGTTTGGAGAACAAAGCACAGTCTTGCCAAGCGTTGGACTGACAGGGAACAGCACCCTCTGATCCTCTGCCCCAATCAAGCCACTCCAGGGTAAATTACGATGTCTTAGGCGGGTCCTGCTTGCTTTGAGGCCCTCCGCGTCGTGAGGCATAAAATAGGGGTCGTCTGTGAAGATTCATGCCTTCTGGTTGGCGCAATAAAAGCAATGACCTAACAGCAGTACCTGTCTACTGATAGATCACAACAGACGAGACGACATCCAAAGATTTCAGCACGCAAAAAAAAACTCTTCACAAAGCGAATCCCACAAGCCTATGTCCGCATCGCCAAGCCGCTTAGGAGGACCCTTCACCGTTCACAGGGCTTAGTGCAGACCCTGAAGATGAAGTGTGATGCCTCTCGCTGTGCATTACATATCCGTCATCCGCAGTTTCACACGTAAGATGTTCGTGGATGAAGTGTAGGGTGTCCTAGAGCCGTGAGTCACACGTTAAAATAATGCAAAAAGGTTGATGTGGAGAAGGATGCGTGGCTGAACTCGTGTCCCCTGGCACGACTCAGGGGTCACTGCACGCGGTACGATTTACTGAGCACAGATAGGCGTCCCGCTCCGCAATTCCACTTTCTAGCGCGCAAGAGCGGGATTGGAGATGAGAAAGAAAAGAAGCAAACTCTGTTTGAAATACCGCTAGTTTTCACATGCGACGGAAAATGCAGGTGTTTTAACAGAGGCTCAGGATAATGAGAAAATGACGAACAGCTGTGTACAGCCAATTACAGCTCCGCTATGAAGCTTTTATGAGCTCTTATCGTTTTCCGTCGTATGTGAAAAGAGGCAGCACATCCAGACCACGAGCTCGATGCTCAGATGTGCAGGACTGTGTACAAGGGATGCGTCAACAGGAGGAGCGTCGAGGTGGGGTTGGAGAAGAAAGCTGATGCAGTGATGGTTCGAACGACTTCTTTAAACCCTATCAACCAATGTTCCTTCCTCGAACCCAGATGTTGTCTAACTCCTCATATGCGCCTTGCACCAATGCTTCTCCCCAGCATGCCCCAAGTAATGCGCCAATGATACAAGTCGAAGGAATCATAGTCCAGCGACCAAATACTGTACACTTCCATGTCCAAGTCGCCATAGCCTGTGTATCCTGTAGTCCGACACGAGGAGCCATAATAACCCCAAAAAATCGCCATGGCTCCTACACCTCCAGCCCCCCAACCATATAAAACAGCAAATACGCCTCCGCAGCAAGGACCTCCACCTCACTGACCAGCACCACCTTACTATCATCGAACATGAACCAATCGTTCCCCTCTCGACTATAGCTGACATAGTGCCCAGAGTCAATCTTGCCCTTATGCACAATCACACTGCTCAGCTCGTATACGAGGCTATTCGCCGGACTATTCATGTTGTAGTTCGATGGTGGCGCCCCGGAGGCTTTCGCGGCGCGGACGGCGGCTTTGTGGGACGTTGTGTAGGGGTGGATGTCGAGTTTAACGGGGAAGCGAACAGGGGTTTCTATTTTGGAGGATGTGGATTTTGTATGCTCGAAGCGCTGTGACAGTGTAAGCATGTAGCTACTAGGAGAGTAGGTAGAGGGTGTTGGTGCGGACTTTGAGATGTATGGAGAGCACCGGGGGTAACCGTTTGATGCTTAGCTGCTTCGTCGCGTTCTGCGGACTGTCGCAGTTCCGACATGTGTATTCGGCGCTGCCCAGTTTCTCCTTGACGGTGAACCTCTCGAGACAGTCCCGTAGATCCAGCGGCGTCTCGTCGTTCTTCTCGGCGTTCAGTTTGCGCTTCTTGCTCTGGATCCGCACGTCGAGGCTGAGGTCCATATAAGGGTCCTGTGCCGTTGTGACGTTCCGGCATTTGTCGCACGTCACTGTGCTTGACAGCTTCCCGCAGAAGGTCTGGTGTACCACGCACTTACAATCCTCGGAGTCGTCGGTTGAGCCGCCGTTTGCCAGGTGCAGTGTGTTGAGGATGAACTGCATGTACTCGTGTGCATCCTGTTGCTGGTATCCCGCGAGCGCCTCGCCTGCTAGCCAACTGCCCATGAGCATGCTGACAGCGCCAAAGCCCTCCGTCTTCTCAGCTGAGTGAAACTCGACGAACATCTCATCCAGCGCACAGCTCACGCATGCCTCTTTCTCGCAGTCTGTCTGCTTATGGCCCTCAGAGAGGTAGTAGTTCCGTATGAAGGGGTTGTGTACGAGGGTTTGTAGGATGACGCTCATGAAGCATGTCTGGCCCATGTTGTAGAGCCCGCGCAGGCCAATCGCTCGACAGGGGAGGAAGGTGGAGTTGCTTATGACCAGCTTGTGGTCTTCGGTCGTGGTGGTGTCTTCGAATTTGCGCTTTTTGCCTGCAGTCTCTCCAGTCAGCTCATACACCTTTGTAGAAGAATGTGGGTAGATACGAACCCTTCTGTACCCTCAGGACTTCAAGCGCATCGTCGTAGATGAAATCCTGGCAGTTCCCACAGTATATGTGGCCGTCTCGCGATTCCACGGCTGCATGCCATTAGCCTCCGCCACCTCCAAATATATGTTCTGAACCCACAGAAGCAGTGCGACTTTGTCTCAAAGTGCAAGTCCCGATCCGCCTCCGTCATTATGTTCGGACACTGCAAGCAGAGGAACAGCGGCCTGAGGGAGACAACATGCCGCGCATCGGTCCCCATGCTGTACGTCTGCGCTATGATACTCGGTTTCTCGTGGATGTTCTGGAGGATAGCGCGGTAGTGCTGGAGGGTCTGCTTCCGCGCATTCTCGAACATCTCGCCCATGTGCTCTGCGTTACGTTAGCAATCATGCTGATCAGTCATAGTGATAGATTATTCACCACAGCCATAGGCAATATGAGGCATCTGGCTAGTCGGAATGATATTGCCCTTTGCGTTCTTGAGAATCTTGGGCGACGCCAGCGCCGACGCCTTGGGGGCGCCAGGTATCGTGTCCATAAGGACGACCAGACGTTCGTACAAGACCTGTGATTGTCCTACACATAGCGCAAGCAAGCGCTATCAGTATTGGTAGCTTGACAACTCAAGGTTGCGCTGGCGATGTGCAAGTCGTTCCTTGGGCTATTTCCGGGGTTGCAAAGCGGACCTGCATGAATCCAATCATGTTGGAAGGGAGTGCGCTACTAGCGCAGATCCCAACCCCACAGAATCACGGTCGGGCAAAAAAGACGCAGAAGCAAAAAGGGTAAGTAACAAATGAAAAGTAAAAGGAAAGTAAAAAAGGTGCAAAATGCAGCAGATGCTATGCAAAATAAAAATAAAAGTAAAAAGACCAGAATGACGAAGCAAAACAACAAAAGCCAAGCGAGCAAGAAGAAACAAAAGCAAAAAAAGAACAGAATGCACGACGTTGGCAGGATTCGAACCTGCGCGCCCGAAGGCATATGATATCTATCAGATGTGCTCAGAAGAGTCATAATTCGAGTCATACACGATAACCACTCCGTCACAACGCCTTGTTCTCGTTCTTGTTGATGGAGGTTTGCTGTAGATGATAATATATATATGTGGTTATACTTGGTTTCGTGGAGCCGCTATCGCAGGCCTTAGGAAAGACTGTGCTTAGTGGGGCAGCTGCAAGCCCCACTTCTTTCGCAACACAACAATCAACAAAAACCTTCGGATACGAAACACGATAATGCAATCTCGTAGAGTAAGTGTTTTAAACTAGATATATATGCTATATGCCTCATGCGCACGGCTTTTCATCCTGCCAACGTCGTGCATTCTGTTCTTTTTGCTTCTTGCCTGGCCTACGCTGCTCTGCGATAGCAGAGCAGATATCAAGTACACCAGTCCGATGGCTGATTTCTTTTTAGACACACGTATTGCGCAAGAAGTTACGTGTCGTAAGATGACTTCTACCTCAACCACCGCCTGTCGCAGTGACTGCATCGATCCAGTGTGATTGAACGAGTAGTTCGCGTAGACTCTTCCGTTCTGTAAACATGCTTGTTTTTTGCTCTTGGTCTTATAGCATACCTAGGCTATCTTCGCATGCTTGTTTTTTACTCATGTTCTCATAGCGTACCCAGGATACTTTCGCAAGCTCTCATTTCAATAACGACCTACATGTAGCCTGTTAGATAATCACAGGCATATGGCAGATATCTTGAAAAATACGAAATACCCCATAAAACCATCCTGTTCCACTGACAACAGATCACTCGCACAGGGAGGCCGTACGCTTGGCTAAAATTTGAGGGTTACAGCCAAGCAGCAGGCTACTCGCCTAACGTTTGGCATATGCCATATGGAGGCCTTTAATTGAGGCCGTGGTGTTCAACACAGTTACCATGGATCAATTAATCAGCAAGTCGCCAAGCCTGAAAAGCAAGAAGAAAGAGTTGTACGCGGTAAGGACAGCATCAAGGGAGGAAACGCCGTGGCGTTTTAGAAGAAGAAGGAACATATTCAGGGTTTATGGTCCGTGCATATCACCTATGGGTTGATAGCCAGACGATTCAATACCTCCAAGGATACATCGCGTAACATGAGTAGGGCTCGCATCCAGAGTATGATCCCAAGAGACAGAGCGGCCTACAACAAAACGCAGAGGGACAGTTGCATGGGGAAGAGCGAGAGCAGCAAAGAAGAAGAAGAAGAAGAAGAAGAAGGAGAAGGAGAAGGAGGAAGAGGATGAAGAGCTCAAGGTAGCCTCGCGCTACTTTTAGACAGTTTTAACTAACCTTAAAGCATAGACAGAGCGTTACAGAAGCCGTTTAATCGTGTAAAATACTGCGTACAGTACTAGGTCATAAGTTTGTTCCGCCAAGCTCGCTTAGCGCAACTTTGGCATCGTGCACCCAAACTTCACCCACCCATATCTCAGCCAAGTGATAATATTTTTTAATTATTTTTAGAGATCTGGTGTTGCATACATCAGTACTTTGTCTGCCAGCCATATGCCTTTCTCACTGCAGCCAGGCGTTGAGGCATTGACATGATGAGCCGCTTGATCAGCTTCCCCGGTATGCTATGCCAGCACTCCTTCAAAGCCTCACAAAACCCATCCCATTCCTCTTGAGCCTTGCTGTAATTGTTGTATTGTGGGTATAGCTTGAACATGCGTTTCTTGAGCACCCACCAGAGGTGTTCAATTGGATTCAAGTCAGGTGAGTAGGCTGGCCAGACAATAGATGTGATGTGGTGCTCTCTAAAGAATGCAGCCACTGCACGGGACCGGTGTATGCCAGCGTTATCCTGCATGAATAACTGTGAACGCCGGTAATGAGGCAGGAGACCCTTTTTCAAGGCCTCCATGTAACTTTTGGCGCTGTACCCGCGTTTTTTGGCATCAAGATTGCGCTCTATAATGACCAGCTTGCTCCTCCTTGGGTGACCCCTTTCATCAAGCCACACACAAGCCCACACCATCTGAGCTGGCTTCCTGCTTGTTCCAGTAGGATCTAGCATCATTGGCTTCCATTTCTCCCAAGGAAATCAAAAGCACCACTCCTGATTACCCCCAGAACCCTTCTGAACTGAGCACTCATCTGAGAACTTGAGTGTGCGCCGGCTCCATCTAAAGTATCTGTACTCCTTGGAGAACTTGAGGCGTAGGGCTGCATGCCCGCAGCTGAACTTTGGACGCTTTTTGGCCTTGTGATTGGTGAGGCCACGTCTGCGCAGCTCTCGGTATAATGTGCTGCGGCTAGGTGGCTTTGAAGGGGTGCCCTCATGGTTTACAAAGATAGACTCTTGTGCAGGCTCTGAGTACTCTATCTTTGGAGCAGTGCACACTTTTCTATAGATGATCTTTTTCTGCGCAAGTGAAAGTACTGGGGGCCGGCCTGACCGAGGTCTGTCTTGTGTGGTTCCCGTTTGGCAGTACTTCTGGTGGATCTTCCTGATGCAGCGGTCGGTGCAGCCATACACGTGTGCCACCTCTTTCACTGCTGCGCCCCCACGCAGCATCCCAATAATCTGATCTCTTTGCATAACTGATAAATTAGGACCACGGCGCACATTTTGATCCAACTCTTGTCCAAATCCGCATTGTGTAGCCATAGTTATGATGCATCAAAGTTGTGGTGTTAATGATGTTGGGAACCGCGCGCGCTAAGAGTGGAACTAACTTTTGACGCGTGACTGTATACCTTTAGGCTAAACTAAACTGAACTATACTGGACTGACGTGCTGAGCACTTTGGTCCCTTAAACAGCCGCAGAAATTCGGTGTCGGGCGATGTGATAGGTGAGTTTCGTGAGGTATCGGGTACGTACGTACGTACTACAACTGCAATCATGCTTAGTCGTAGCTAGAGTCTCCGCATAATCAGAACCCCAAGTTCTGCGAAGACCTTCTGGGTATGCTAAGCAGTGTGCGCTACTATCAACTTAATCGGCGTCATTACATTGAATCACATGAGCGACAACCAAACAACAGTCCACAATGACCGCAAAACTCCGTGATTGAGAACCCGAGGTTTGCATTCATTCATTCATTTGCCCTACGGATAACTGTCCTCTCCCGTCTCGAGACCGACTATGTTTCCTGCCGTACCTTCATCTACATCTTAGCATGTTTTCCTTGCCCAGTGTATCGATGTCTTTACATATTCGCCTTAGCCTCGCCCTTGAGCTCCTGCGCCTTGCCCTTAGCTTCACCCTTCACCTCCTGCGTCTTGCCCTTGGCCTGGCCCGCAATCTCGTTAGCCTGGCCCTTGGCCTTTCCTGCCATCTCGTTCGCCTGGCTCTTGGCCTCGGAGGTGTTGTTGGGGATGGTCTCCTTGACGGCACCGGCAATGTCCTCTGATCTTACTATTAGCAAAACTCTCTCAAACAACGGTCTGATGGTTGCGAACGGTAGGAAGTTGTCATGTTCGTAGCTGGGCACGGTGAAAGGGAGGATCAGGCGGTGTCATGTTGTGGTATTGTGTGGCAAGGTAGTGGGTATGGAAAGAGGAGGGGTGTACATACCACCCTTCTCAATGCCCTTCACAGCCGCACCGGAAATCGTCCTGTCGACAGCCTTTGCGGCATCCTTGATGGTCTCGACGGGGCTCTTGCGCGCGATGGGCGTGGTGCTGAAGAGGCGGACCTGGCGGGTGAATTGTTGGCGGAGCATGGTGCTTGTTTGTGTGGAGTTTGTGTGGAGTTTGTGTGGAGTTTGTGTGGAGTTTGTGTGTTTGGAGGTGTACTAGCAGTTCGTTTGTGGGAAGCTGAGAGCGCTTGAAGTAATGGCAATTGGATGGTGAAGTACTCGAGTGTGTTGTAAGTGAGAGTATGAAGAAGAGCTTTAAAGGATGCTGAGGGGTGGGTTTCTGGTTGTACGAAGGGCTATGACGTAGCTATGATCCAGCCAATCGAAAAGTTGCGATGGCCCAAGCTTCACGATCACGATCTCGATGCAGCCTAGAGCTGGTCGGTGTTGTGAGGGAAGCTCTGCGTTTGTTATTAATATCTCAATTGAGAGCTAAGCTAAATGAATAATGCTTTTCTCAGCTATCCAGCCCCTGATCAACCTCCTCGCAAGCTCAATAGAGTGCCTTCTGCCACCACGCACACCTCGCGTTAGCATTGGTATCCCTCACCTCGTCAATACCACTGATGTTAAGTTTCAAAACACTAGCATCCTTTCCATACATGTTGAACACCGGAACGCCCTCCCCGTCCGGACTTCCAATCTTTGCGAAATTGGTAATGTATTCTTGGAGCGCGATCGCAATTGTTCTGTTGGCTACACTACGGCCTGGGTTGGCTTGGTCTGCAACAGCGCCGCCGTCGTAGTAAGTGTAAGGTACGTCTTGTCCGTGAATGGCTGGTGGTACGGCGAAGAGGTAGGAGTAGGTACGGTTTCCGAAGGCGGTAGAGAGATAGTTGGTGTTACCTGTAGCAAGTCAGTGCATGTCTTGAGAGGAGAGCATGTGAGAATTTACATGTGAATATGGCCTCACTAGTAATGAAATTGGCGCGCGCAACGTTGCTAGTGTAAGGCAAGGAGCCATCGAAAACTGCTGGGTACAACGTCGACAGGATGTAGTCAATGGATTTCTGGGGCACGTTGGCGAACGAGCTGGTCAGTTGGTCGACCACTTGCTGCTCGGTGCGAATCGTTTGGGGAGTAAATAGATAGCCTTCGTCGGCGTTATGTCCGACCATGACACGAACATCTTTGTCGAAGCGTCCCTGGGCGAGAAGTTGTCCAGGCTGGAGAGGCACGAAATATCCATCAACGACGGGTCCATATGTGAAAGATCCATAAAGAGAGTCGTAGAAGACTTGTCGAGCATTGGCCTCGATGATCTTCTCAGATGGAAGAGCCCGCAGCTCCGCGAGAGAGGTCGTCTTGGTCAAGTTAAGGAACTTCTGGTATGTATTTTCCTGTACCACCTGAGAAGAAATCGGTAGCCACCCTGGACTCTGAGGCACGGCTTGCTGGAAGGGAACTGGGCCTTTGGAGCCACCATAGGCGGTGATTTGATGCACGATTGAGCCGCCTCCTGCGCTCTCAC